GTCCATGTGGGTCCTAATGCCCAAGTATAGTGACGGGGACTCTATGCTGGAAACAGGCGCTGTCCTTCAGATGAGATGTAAAACCGAGGTCCTGACTCTCTGTGGTCATTAAAAATCCCAGGGTGTTTCTTGAAAAGAGTAGGGGTGTAAACCTGGCGTCCTGGCCAAATTTCCCATTGGCCTTTACCAATCATGGCCTCCTAATAATCCCCCTCTATGAATTGGCTTCAGTACTCTGCTCTCCTCCCCACTGATAGCTGGTGTGTGGTGAGTGTTTTGGCGCACTATGGCTGCTGTCGCATCATCCAGGTGGGGCTGCACATGGTGGTGGAGGGGAGTCCCCATTACCTGTAAAGCACTTTGAGTGAAGTATATATAAGTGTAAGCAATTATTATTATTAGAGCACAGATGCCACACAGTTAGCCCCAAGGGAGTTGAACCCAGGGCCCTAGCTCTGTGAGGCAGAAATGCTAACCACTGTGCCACCATGCTGCCCATGAGTGGCACCCCATATCTACTACATTTCCTGGCAATCATGTGCAAATAAATGCATGTATTGCTCTTCACTGCCTTCTCTCTACAAGCTTAGCATATTCTTTTCCTAACCAATAGAATACAGAAACTATAATCTTTCTTGTTTGTGAAATGAGTTTAAATGCACCTTATGATTAGAGATGAAAATCCTTATTAGGATTGATCATTGTCCTCCTAGAGTTTTAGAATGATGGTCTAGTAACTATAGTGATTTATTTACCTTATTTCTCAAATCTGCTAAATAAAATAAGTGTTTGGATATGTCTTTTATTCCCTTGCCAATACATTATACCACTCCTTACCAACCCCAGAAACATCTGTTCTGAGAAAAACTGTGAAACTGCAGAACAGAACAGGAGTGAAATGCACTCTGGGCTGAAAAATTAAGAGTTGTCTCCCAACTCTGCTTGAGGAACTGAGGAGGCAGAACATTCAGTGTCTGTGAGGTTAAATAAAAAGCAGCTTGTCTTGTTCTGCAATTAGCAATGTTTTAAACTCAGTTAATTTAGAGGGGCATTGTGCAATTAAAATGAATCGTGTGACAAATTAACAAGAAAACAAAGATTCTTAATTATAAAATATGAAATGGCTACACAGGACTAAACAGCATTATCAATACGGTCAAATACAGTACAGAAGTTCAGAGGAGCACCACTATTGCACGGATGTTCTAGATTTCAAAGGGGACAGGAATGCAACTTACAGCTCGGAAGGCAGCCAGATTATTCTCAGCTTCTTCCTTCTGATGAATCTCTTCCTGCAGCCTAGGAAATTAAAACACAATCAAAAGTTGGAAGTGTATTACTTTGAAGACAAAACATTTGTTTTTTGTTTCACCAGGTAAAATGAAATTTAAACAAATTGTCACATCGAATGGTGGACTGGAGGACAACTGCTGTGCCCCACGTGGAAATCATGACCCTCAAAGTCCAGTCCTAGCCTTTTGATTTTAACGTTAGTGGTGTTGAAATTCTCTTCTTCTGTTCTTTCTTACTTTTTAAATCTTTTTTTCTTTCCCTTTGCTTTGTTTCAGGTTGATAGATCTAGGCTTGGAATTATTTCAGTAGATAAAAAAAATGATTGGAACATTTCCTGAGACATTGCCCTAGATTTCTGGCAGGCCTGACTTAGCAAAATATGCAGTCCCTTGTTGAAAAATGAAAAGGTGTGTGTGCAGCTTTGTGTAACCTACATACTGTAACTATACAGTAGGGGCATTGAGTGAAGTTGCTTTTACAAACACAAAGTAAAATCAATTTTTGCTGGAAAATCTTCTCACAGACTTGCTGTAACCATGCAGGGAATGTGGCAGACTGATAAGACAACGGTGGACATTCAGTAACAACTTAAACAAAGGGGGAAAACATTTGAAAACACGCGTTTCCTAAATAACTAAAAAACACTGCTTTGGGGTCTAATTGGCTTTCTACAAGCAGAACAGTGATAATTTGTAATACAGTCGCTGTACTCAGGTGTGCAAAGACCTAGTCTATTACCTTAGTTAGTTTATGTCTGGGTCTGATAAGCAGCAGAGCGATAATGCAAGCAAGACTCTTCAGACCCTTCAGTTTTTGGAAGTACTGTATTTCATCCAACATCCAACCACCCAACAAACATGGGGTGGGAGCTTTTGATACAATACAACTATCCATCCGTTTTGTAATCGCTTCTTGTAATCCAGGGTCATGGGGAGACAGAGCCTATCCTAGTAAGCAATGGGCACAAGGCAGGATTCACCCTAGACAAGATGCCAGCCCGTCATAAGGCACACACACTCACACCAGGGCCAATTTTCCCAGAAGCCAAATAATTTACCAGCATGTCTTGGGACTGTGTAAGAAAACCCACAACCTCTGGCAAAAAAGCACCCCAGGTCCAGATTTGAACCCAGGGTCCCAGTGCAATGAGGCAGTAACGCTAACCACTGTGCCACTGTGCATTCCACCTTCACCTAATTTATTCAGAGAATTCCAGTGAGCACCTTGCAATAAATTCATCCATGCTGGTGAAGTGCAAAGACATCAGATTCTCAAACAGCTGTGTGAGAGCAATTCGATTGGCAGCAGCCAAAAGAAATAGACAGACTCTTCTTGTTTGTAACCTTTCCGATGTTCTTATGCAGAAGAAAGAGACGTTTTGTGTATGATGAAGGTGATTATGGTCCACCAAAATATAATCTTCAGAAACAGATTTCTGCATGAAATTATCACGGAGACTTATGAAAATGTAAAATGAGTGTGTCACCAAGCAAGGTACAGCATGCAAATGAATAACGTTTTGTATCGAACACAAACAATCCAATCTAAGCTTAACACCCAAATATACTGTATAGCCCAGAAGCCTAAACACTGTGTCTCGTATAGCATAGAATAAGACACTCCAACATATCGTACTTCAGTAAACAAGCTCATAGTCTATTGTAACTTTTAAAATAATTATTTTTACTTCCTGCATCTTGCATCAGAGATTACTGTTACGTAGACAATGTACATTTTTTTATGATTCCAGGAAACCAGAAAATACTGAAAGACATATAAACTCCATACAGATAGCACCCAAGCATTGAGCCCAGGGTTCCACCACAACAAGGCAGGAATGCTAACCATTGCACCACTGAATCACCCATACAGAATTCAATCAAAATAGAAACTTCTGTGTGCCACTGAGTTTCCGATCATAATTCACAGTTCTAACCAAGAGATGAAGTTTTAACTATCCCCTATAATCTAAATGGTGGGTTTTTCTGTGAGACAACTCAATTTTGTAAGCACTGCGAAGCTCATATTCTCTGTAGCAAATCTGCAGTGTGGGATGAACTCTGGAAAATTCATTGCGTGTCTCACCAGCGTAAATAAAACAACCCACAGCTCCCTTTTTAAGGAAAGATATATTGGCAAGAGAGGGAACGAGCCACTGTATAGATGTGACAGTAATCAATTTATCACTGCACAGCCTTTACTTCCATTTATAGTCACACGCAACAATGCTCTTGAGAAGAGCTTCCAGATACAAAGTAAGGAGTTTATTGACAAGGCAGTGAGTCCATTCCCAAATAGGAAAAGGACAAGGGTTTCTCTTATGGCATAGAAG